CTCGTTTCTAACAGAGGAGACAATATTCTCTACCTCATCCTCGGGGAAGAGGTCTGGGATCTCCCCGGAGGCGAGGAGGTCGTTGATGAGCACCAGAAACTTCTCGTCAGGAATGTGAGCATCGGTGATAAGGAAGACGGTGCCCAGGTTCTTGAGGCCAGCTCGCAGGTACAGATTAGCCAGATCGCTCTGTATTGTAGTGACATAGTAAAATGTACACATATATGGCATGGGCGTTCATAACACAGAACGTGCATTTAAGGGGATTTTGTAGACCAACTCAAAAAGACATGTTATTCCTGAGTTAGTATTATTCGTGGAACCGATATTCATATAGAATGATCATAAGTATGTCTCTCTCTCTCTCTCTCTCTCTCTCTCTCTCTCTTCTCTCTATATATATATATATATATATATATATATATATATATATATATATATATATATATATATATATATATATATATATATATATATATATATATATATATATATATGGTTGGGGATTTCAATGTTAAAGTGGGTAAAAATGTTGTGGAGGGAGTAGTAGGTAAATTTGGGGTGTCAGGGGTAAATGAAAATGGGGGACCTTTAATTGAGCTATGTGTAGAAAGAGGTTTGGTAATAAGTAATACATATTTTATGAAAAATAGGATAAATAAATATACAAGGTATGATACAGCACATAATGAAAGTAGTTTGTTAGACTATGTATTGGTGGATAAAAGGTTGATGGGTAGGGGATCATTATCTAGTTGTAGCTACAGTTAGAGTAAGAGGTAGATGGGACAAAAGGAAAATGGCAACAACAAGTAAGAGGGAGGTGAAAGCGTATAAACTAAGGGAGAAAGAAGCTCGGGTGAGATATAAGCAATTATTGGCAGATAGATAAGCTAGTGCAAGCATTAGAAGTGGGGGGGGGGTTGAAGAGGGTTGAAATAGTTTTAAAAATGCAGTATTAAAATGTGGGGCAGAAGTTTGTGGTTATAGGAGGGTGGGTGCAGGAGGAAAGAGGAGTGGTTGGTGGAATGATGAAGTAAAGGGTGTGATAAAAGAGAAATAGGTAGCTTATGAGAGGTTCTTACAAAGCAGAAGTGTTATAAGAAGAGCAGAGTATATGGAGAGTAAAAGAAACGTGAAGAGAACGGTGAGAGAGTGCAAAAGGAGAGCAGTTGATAGAGTGGGAAAGGCACTGTCAAGAAATTTTGATGAAAATAAGAAAAAAATTTTGAGTGAGATAAACAAGTTAAGAAAGCCTAGGGAACGTATGGGTTTGTCAGTTAAAAACAGAGTAGGGGAGTTAGTAGATGTGGAGATGGAGGTTTTGGGTAGATGGTGAGAATATTTTGCGGAACTTTTAAATGTCGACGAAGAAAGGGAGGCGGTAATTTCATGCACTGGCCAGAGAGGTATACCATCTTTTAGGAGTGAAGAAGAACAGTATGTGAGTGCCGGGGAGATGCGTGAGGCATTACGTAGAATGAAAGGGGGTAAAGCAGCTGGAACTGATGGGATCATGACAGAAATGTTAAAAGCAGTGTTGGAGTGGTTGGTATTTTTGTTTAATAAATGTATGAAAGAGGGGAAGGTACCTAGGGAATGGCAGAGAGCATGTATAATTCCTTTATATAAAAGGAAGGGGGACAAAAGACATTGCAAAAATTATAGAGAAATAAGTTTACTGAGTATACCAGAAAAAGTGTATAGTAGGATTATTATAGAAAGAATTAGAGGCAAGACAGAATGTAGGATTGTGGATGAGCAAGGAGGTTTCAGAGTGGGTAGGGGATGTGTAGATCAAGTGTTTACATTGAAGCATATATGTGAACAGTATTTAGATAAAGGTAGGGAAGTTTTTATTGCATTTATGGATTTAGAAAAGGCATATGAAAGAATGGATGGGTGAGCAATGTGGCAGATGTTGCAAGTATGTGGAATAGGTAGTAAATTAATAAATGCTGTAAAGAGTTTTTATGAGGATAATGAGGCTCAGGTTAGGGTGTGTAGGAGAGAGAAAGATTACTTCTCGCTAAAAGTAGGTCTTAGACAGGGATGTGTAATGTCACCATGGTTGTTTAATATATTTATAGATGAGATTGTAAAAGAGGTAAATGCTAGGGTGTTGGGGAGAGGGGTGGGATTAAATTTTGGGGAATCAAATACAAAAAGGGAATTGACACAGTTACTTTTTTCTGATGATACTGGGCTTATGGGAGATTCTAAAGAAAAATTGCAAAGGTTAGTGGACGAGTTTTGGAGTGTGTGTAAAGGTAGAAAGTTGAAAGTGAACATAGAAAAGAGTAAGGTGATGAGGGTATCAAATGATTTAGATAAAGAAAAATTGGATATCAAATTGGAGAGGAGGAGTATGGAAGAAGTGAATGTTTTAAGATATTTGGGACTTGACGTGTTAGTAGATGGATGTATGAAGGATGAGGTTAACCATAGAATTGATGAAGGAAAAAAGGTTAGTGGTGCATTGATTAATATGTGGAGACATGAAACATTATCTATGGAGGCAAAGAAGGGAATGTATGAAAGTATAGTGGTACGAACACTCTTATATGGGTGTGAAGCTTGGATTGTAAATGCTGCAGTGAGGAGACGGGTTGGAGGCAGTGGAGATGTCCTGTCTAAGGGCAGTGTGTGGTGTAAATATTATGCAGAAAATTCGGAGTGTGGAAATTAGGAGAAGGTGTGGAGTTAATAAAAGTATTAATCAGAGGGCTGAAGAGGGGTTGTTGATGTGGTTTGGTCATTTAGAGAGAATAGATCAAAGTAGAATGACATGGAGAGAGTATAAAATCGTAGGGGAAGGGAAAGGGGGGGGTAGGGTCGTCCTCGAAAAGTTTGGGGGGGAGGGGGTAAAGGGGTTTTTTTGGGCGGGGGCTTCGACTTCCAGCAAGATGCGTGGCGTGTTAGACAGGAATGAAGGACCCCAATGGTGTTTGGGACCTGACGATCTGTTGGAGGGGGGCCCGGTAATATTTAGTGGAGGGATTCAAAAAAAACCGGTTTTTTTTATCCCCGGTTGAGTACTGGAAAGGGGAAGTACAATCCCGCACTTTAAGGGGGGGGGTTTGGGGATATTGGCATTTTTGGGGGTATTTTGTGTATCTTTATACGTATTGTTCTAAAATGTTGTTTTCTGAGCACCTCTACAAAAACAGTGTTTATTGTGAGTGGGTGAAAAGTGTTAAATAATGTTTAAAAAGTATTTTTTTTTAGGGGATTTTTTTTCTTTTTGGGTCCCTGCCTCGGGGGGGAGACGGCCATTTTGGTAATAAAACATATAAAAATATATATATTTTTTAAATTTTTAAATATATATATATATATATATATATATATATATATATATATATATATAAAAATATATTTTATAAAAATAAAAAAAAAGCTCCGGGGAGAACCTTTGGGTTTTTCTCTGAGTAGTTTATTGTCTTCTCTGAGGGTTTTGGGGGTTCCCTTTCCAGCTTAGAGGGGGTATTCCCTATAATATTATATATATTATTAAATAAAATATATATATTATATATATATATATATTTATATTTATTAAAATATATTATATATATATTATATAAATATATATAAAATATATATATATTATATAAAAAATATAATTATATAATTAATATTATATAAAATTTATATAATATAAAAATATATATTTTTAAATGTGTGTATATTATGTATTATATTTAATAATATAATAATTATATATATATAATATATTTATATTATATATTTAAAATTGTGTGTGTGTGTGGTTTTTGGTGTACTCCCTAATTTTACTCACCTAATTGTGGGTTGAGGGGTCGAGACTCGCCCCTGGCCCCCCCTCTTCACTGATCGCTACTGGATCCTCTCTCTTTTCTTTTTCCTGAGCTTTGTCATACCTCTTCTTAAAACTATTAGGGTTCCTGCCTCCACTACTTCACTTGCTAGGCTATTCCACTTGCTGACAACTCTATGACTGAAGAAATACTTCCTAACGTCCCTGTGACTCGTCTGAGTCTTCAGCTTCCAGTTGTAAACCCCTTGTCCCTGTGTCCCTCTCTGGAACATCCTATCTCTGTCCACCTTGTCTATTCCCCGCAGTATCTTGTATGTCGTTATCATTCTCCCCTGACCCTTCTGTCCTCCAGTGTCGTCAGTCCGATTTCCTTAACCTTTCCTCGTACGACATTCCTTTGAGCTCTGGGACTAGCCTTGTTGCAAACCTTTGTACTTTCTCTAACTTCTTGACGTGTTTGACCAGGTGTGGGTTCCAGACTGGTGCTGCATACTCCAGTATGGGCCTAACATACACAGTGTACAGTGTCTTGAACGATTCCTTTTTAAAGGGTTTATCGGAACGCTATTCTCAGGTTTGCCAGGCGCCCGTATGCTGCAGCGGTTATTTGGTTGATGTGTGCCTCCGGTGATGTGCTCGGTGTTTATGGTCCCCCCAAGATCTTTCCCCCTGAGTGAGGTCTGTAGTCTTTTGTCCACCTAGCCTATACTCTGTCCTGCGGTCTTCTTTGCCCCTCCCCAATCTTCATGACTTTGCATTTGGCTGGATTAAATTCGAGAAGCCAGTTACTGGACCACATGTCCAGCCTCTCCGGGTCTCTTTGCAGTCCTGCCTCATCCTCGTCCGATTTAATTCTTCTCATCAACTTCACGTACATCTGCGAACAGGGACACTTCAGAGTCTATTCCTTCCATCATGTCGTTCACATATATCAAAAATAGCACTGGTCCTAGAACTAAACCCTGTGGGACCCCGCTCGTAACAGGCGCCCACTGTGATACCTCTTCACGTACCATGACTCGTTGTTTGCCTCCCTGTCAGGTTTCCCTTACCCAAATTGCAGTGCCCTTCCTTTTACGTGTGCCTGATCCTCCAGCTTTGCACTAATCTCTTTGGGGGAACTGTGTCAAAGGCCTTCCTGCAGTCTAGGAAAACGCAATCTACCCAACCCCTCTCTCGTGTCTTACTTCTGTTACCTTGTCATAAAACTCCAGGAGGTTTTGTGATACAAGATTTGCCTTCCATGAACTCATGCTGGTTTTCATTTATAATCTTGTTCCTTTTCCAGGTGTTCGACACTCTCCTCCTGATAATCTTCTCCATGACTTTGCACACAATACATGTCAGAGACACAGTCTGTAGTTTAGTGCCTCGTTTCTGTTTC